AGGAAGAAAAATTTCGAAAAAGAAGGAAAGAAGGAAAGAAGGAAACTAAGAAGTCCTATAGAAGAAGAAGAATTGGGTGAAATAGAAATAGAAATAGAAGATTGGCACTTACCATCGCAGGTTTTCCCTTTGTACTCATTGGAGCAAACGCATTGGAAGTCATCGTCATTGACTTCGATGCAGCGGCCACCGTGCAGACAGGGGTTAGGATCGCAGACATTCTTTACACATTGATAGCTGTCTGCGCTGGTTTGTTTACACTTGTCAGAAAATTGACATGGGTTTGGCTGACACAGATCTTTGTCTGCAATAGAAAAATAAGGAGAAGAAAATGATACGTAAGCATAAGTAGTTATTAGGAAAGAAAGAAAAAAGACCGACAAAACTAAGACACAAACAAATACATATATATGGGTTTTATATTTTTGTACTCAACCCGGACAAAGGGTCCGAGATAAGGACTTTCCAAAACGGTCCAAAGCTAAAGGAAGGAGGGAATCCACTGTCATTTCCTTGAGTATCAATTCTTTCTTTAACGGTTGCACATGATGAGACACATAAATATGGATACAACTCAAACAAAGAATCTTATTCTCAAGAGAATAACGCGTGGTCTGAAATGTAAAACATTACACAAAAGTGGTATATTGGAAATAAGTTATACCTTGGCAGTGTGACCCCTTGAATCCAATGTTGCAGTTGCATGCAAAGCTTCCATCACTTGTGTGCAAGCACTTGCCTGCATTGCATGGGTTAGGATGGCAAGGATCTTGATCTAGGATAGAATAGAATAGCACAAAACAATGCTAAAATGTACAATTACTTTATTATTTGAAGGTAGATTTGTGATTTAAAAGAAGAGAAAGRAAGGAAGGAAGGAAGGAAGGAAGGAAAAAAAGCTTAAAGAGAAAGTGCGGAGAAGAAGAAAGAGTGTGAGWGAGGTTGCTTACCTTGGCAATGCGATCCTCTGTATCCAGTCGAACAATTACAAAGGAAGCCCAAATCATTATTTATCTCTAGACAGTAGCCATCATGCAGGCATGGGTTCGGATGACAGCGATCTTTGGCTAAATCAGAAAAAAACCAAGTCATGAATCCAAATCAAAAATTCGTAATAGATGAGTACTTTCATAATTTCAAGCTAATCTCGACAAAATAACCTAAATTAATTTTTATTGTTTTGTTATTTCAAGCACAGTAACAAATAGTTTCATCATAGAATATTCTCACATTGATAACCCTTAATGATACTTCAAAACGGAATGGAATGGACTCTTTCGACGATGCGGCGGCCATCTTGGATCGCAAAGTATTATTGGGCATTCCGGGGGCAAATAAAGCTTTGTTACAGTAAGTCGATGGATATTGGATATAATGGATATAATGGCCCACCACAAGAGAATATAGCAAAATATGAATGAACATGGAACATCGATCACCTTTGCACATTCTCTACTTTCACATCCCCATAATACTTTGCGTCTTTGGGGGGTAAACAGAGAGTAAAAACCCACTTATTTTGCTGAAGGCTGATCAGACAATGTTGACAATACCTTGTTTGGTATCCAAAAATAAAATGAAGAAGTAAAAAACAGAAAAAGATTGAAGATTGAAGACGTTTAAGGTAAATTTTAAACATTTTTTCGTAAGTCAATACATTTTCTGTAAGACCAAAACTCTTGATGATCTGTACACGCAAAAATAGCTTGGAATAAACTGATAATCAGTATTTACAGATAAAAGCAGGTATAGTATAAATTCAATTAAGAAGCCTTTCAATTTGGGCCAGTTTTTTGATTGGTTACCCCCCAAAGACACAAGGTATTATGGGGATGTGAAAGTAGAGAGAATAAAAGAAAGACAAACACACGAAACTCTATATTTCCCGTCATCTTTGTTTTGTTTTGCCCCCTGGCAAGATGCCTGTCGTATCGTCGAGGTAGTCCATTACTATATGTTTGAGATGTATGTACTGAATTGAGGTAGTATACCTTCACATGTCAGTCCCTTGTAGCTTTGTGGACATCGACATACAAACCCTTGTCCTCCGACTACTTCTGTACACATCCCTCCGTGATGACATGGATTAGGACGGCATCTGTCGAGCTCTGAAAAATCCAGCAAATTAAAACTATCAATAACGTCATTAACTGATATCCACTGCCATTTATGCAACCCTTGCCATTACTGTCGTTTTCAGTATCACGCGTGGAATCGTCGGTAGGTTTTGGTAAAGTGGACGTCAATCAAGGCCTTTCAATGACATTTAATATACGCGTGTATTGACGGCTTTTAAAACCTACATAAGATTTAAAAAGTATTTACCTGAACAAGTAGAACCTTTGAAGCCCTGTGAACAGTTACATGTGATGCCATCACCTATTTCGTTACAGAAACCGTTATTGTTGCACGGGTTTGGATGACACGGATCTTTCTCTGTTGAAAAATAACAAAATATTTTAAATCTAAGGACACAGTTATTTCAAAAAAAGGTCGATTAAGGTTTTGTTGCGGTTTTGTTGCCGAAGAACCTCTGCTTGAAAAACGTGCAGACAAAGATTAAGGAACTGTCAAATGGTTGTTCTCTTTCGTTAATGGCATTTCGGGCTTGCTATTCAACATGCAACATGCAACATACAAAACTTAACATGCATGCGTACAACATGCAACATGCAACATGCAACATGCAACATGCAACATGCAACATGCAACATGCAACATATGCAACATGCAAAATGCAAAATGCATACATACAACATGCAACATGTGAACATGCAACAAACTTTCCCCAAGCATTTTTGAAATAGCTGTATAGCCATCACTAAAGCTATGGAAAAGCTAAGACAAAAAGACTCGAATTTTATGTGTTATTTTTATTACCTTTACATGTTGTTCCTCTAAATCCTTCGGAGCATGCGCAGTCGAATCCTCCACCGATATAACGTCCTATACAACGGCCTCCATTTTGACATGGGTTTGGCTGACATTCGTCTTCCTCTGAAATATAACAACTTAAAATATTTCTTGATTCTTAACTCATGAAAAAACAAGTTTAAATATTACAAATACCTGAGCATGTTTCTCCTTTGAATCCAAGTGAACATCGACAAATAAACCCGTCAGAGGTGGACAAGCACTTGCCATTGTTTTCGCATGGATTTGGGTGACAGGGCTCTTTTTCTGTTAATAAGAAGCAAATAAACTCCTTCAGATTTATTGTGCCACGATATATGCGGTGATTGCAATTATGAAAAAAAAAACCCTGCAATTCTTGAACTGAGTTTTTTTTAACTCCACTACTTATTCTCCCAATAACTAATTGTAACTTTGACTTTTTTCCTTTTCTTGTTAGTTAATCTTTGCATTATCTGAAAGCTATCTAAATAAATAACTACATCGTCTCGCTGTACTAACATAAAATTAATCCGGTCATATCTGACTTGCAAAGGAGCATACAAATCCAGTACACCATAAGGGTGGTCCTGACTGGCTTACCATGACAGTATTTGCCTTTGTATTCTGGTGAGCATGAACATGTAAAGCCGTCTGCCAGACTGCTGCATTTTCCTCCATTTTGACATGGATTTGATAAACAACTATCGACCACTAGAACAAATAAAAAACAATATATATTTATAATGCCTATACCACCTATCTCGATATTTTCAGTATTGGTTCAACTTAAAGTGAATAGTTGAATTATATGATTCGAGTGATGCATCTTGGAGATATCAAGAATTATATGCACGAGTGGGCAATTGTATCGGCCTGTTGCAGCGACTCCCACAACAAAGTTTAATCATATATCGAGGAAGATACTCAAGCTATTAGTTTTTGTTGTTGTTTGTGAAGATGATTTTATATAACTCAGAGACTGAAATGAGGCTAGCTTTTAGTAAATGATATCTGTAATGAAGAAACACAGAGCTAAAGATCGGCGATTTTACAAATGCTTTCATTAGTGTGATATGGGTCTATTGCTAAATTTGATTTTGTGTTTTCGACTTCTAAGTGTTTTGTCATGACTTACATTCACAATGGTCGCCACTGTAGCCTCTTCTACAAGAACACTTAAATTTGTCACCATCTTGTGTGCACTCTCCATCGTTGTGACAAGGGTTGGGCTCACAACTGTTTTTCACTGATAAACGTACATAGGGAAAAACAAGTGAGTTCAAAATACGAGGAAAAACCACACAATCTATCAATAAATGAATGAGTACAAGCAAAATGCACAAAATAAAAGCAGAGCAGATTTTTTCAGAACTCTCATCATGAAAAACGTGACAAGATTTTGTGGTGTTACACTAAACAATTTTCTTGAAGTTTTGTTAAACGACACGACACACGGTGCAATACTGCGCGCAACAGGTTCGCTGCAGCGTTTGTCGATCCCTACTTATTGTATGCAATATTTTAGGAGTTGAATCATGCTCTACTTCTGCAACTTTGCGTGCAACAAATTTTATCGTGTTTGGAATTCTTAGCCTATCAGTTTGCACTAAAACAAAAAGTCTTAGTATAGCTGGCTTTGTTATCGAAGGAAGACGCCATATATTTTGTTGCAACGTGTGTCACCGCACATGTGTTGCGCGCAGTGTTGCGTGATATGTTACCCAGTGATATCAGCTGCTTTAAGCTACGGACACGGTTCAACATCGCGCACAATGTTGTAGGCAATCGATGTTTGAGAGCCATCATGAAGCAATTTGTTGCACGCATTGTTGTTGAAGTAGAAAACGATCCTACTTCAGAAAAACTGCCCGCGACATTGCGCGTAATGTTACACCATGTGTCCGCGCCTTTACTATAATGTAATCTGCTTCGAAACTCAACGCATGAACGAAAAAAAACCCCCAGCTTACTACGTACCTTGACAAGTGTCTCCTTTGTATCCTTGCTGACACATACATTTAAACCCTCCATCATAACCAAAGCACTGACCGCCATTCATGCAGGGGTTTGTTGCACACAGATCCATGTCTAGATATCAAGAAATAATCGTAAAAACAAGAAGGAATAGATCTAGAAGTGCTTCTGAAAAGGTATTGTATGATCAACTGAAGGCAAACGCAAAGAAATTAAAGGAACAATATAAACGTTTTGCTTTATTGGAAAGGTATAATCCCCAATGTATGCTCATAATATGATCAATTAACATTTTTTGTTGCACTGGTTTTGCTTTCCTGGCCGCGTTCACAACCAAAGTATAAAGAACACAAAAACGTACAGAAAGACTTCCCTGACTATTTCTCTCTATTAGGATAGAACGAAACCTCCGGTCTACCATATTTCACCATCTGCGCTTGCGTATGTTATTGTGGTTGTATATTCAGTGAAAACCAGGAAAGCTATTATGCGGTTATACAATAAATTGCCTGTTTGTTCAGACATGTAGTATACGTCAAAATAGTGTCACATTTATACCTTCACAGTGTGCTCCTTTAAACTGATTCTGACACTTGCATTTGTAGCTATTTTCTGTCTCAATGCATTCTCCATCGTGTRGACAAGGGTTTGGCTTGCATCGATCCGTTTCTGTTGATACGATAATATTTTACTCTCGGTTATTGAAGTATTTACTCAAAAAAAAAAGCTTTATTTTTCCCCTGGGAGCCTTAATACCATGCGGCCCAAGATGGCCGCCGTATCGTCGAAGTAGTCCATTGCGACTGCTTCCGGCTTGTAGCCATGCCAACCCATGGCCAAAATATATTTCTGGGTTCAATCATAATATTAAAATTACGAGATCTTTGCTCTTGATTAAGGTGCAGAACGATTACATGATCTCGTTACCTTCACAATAAAGACCTCTGTATCCTGAAGAACAGACGCATTTGAAGCCATTTTCATGTTCGATACACCTGGCTCCATTCTTACAAGTATCCATCTGACAGCTGTGATGAACTGAGAGAGGAAAAAAAAACATTTCGAAAAATCAGTCGTTTGGAAAGTGTAGGCCCCGTCTGTCTTCACTATATAACCCTGTATAAGGCGGACGTATAAAAGACCCACTGAAGAAGCTGGTGACAACCACGTTCATAACCCGTACTTACACTACAGGGTCCAAAAGCATTGGTGAAAAATGTAGTGGTTTCCCTGACTTTCCAGGAAAAAGCTAAATGAATAAATAGATGTTTCAGAATCATGGAGTGGGGTAGTAGAGTGTGCTCCAGCTTCATCCATCCCTTACATCAGTCCCTGTACAAGCACTATAATGACGTTCTCTTACCATCACAATTTCTGCCTCCAAAACCTTGTCTACAGATGCATTTATAACCGCTGTCTGTCTCGTAGCAGGTTCCTCCATTATGGCAAGTGCCAGAGTGACATGGACTCATATCTGGTCAGATGAAGCAATTATTAGTTTATTTACATAGAAAATTATCTTTTGGTGTTGAATTTGTTTGTAGATATATTGGGATCAATCTAGTCGTGGATTTTCATTGCATCAGGGCCCGGTCGTACTATGGGTGGATAGCGCGATCCAACGAATAAATCCTTATCCATTGGATAGGTCGATGCTGTTATCCAATAAATTTATCCAATGGATAAGACTCATCCGTTTGATCGCGCTATTCACCCTCCGTGCAACTGGATTAGCAAATCAGAAAAAATAGCTCCAATTGCTACATTTTCTGCTCAAAAATAGAAAATAAATAAATAAATGAAAAACGAAATAACAACAAGAACAGCAAAAGCAGCAGCAGAAGCAGAACGATTATCAGATGTTTCATTTGAAGAGAGGGAAATCTAATGTTACCTTCACATATATCTCCTTTGTAACCTGAAGGGCAGTCACACTGAAACCCGGTCCCACTCAGTGTCTGGAAGCATTTGCCGCCGTTCAGGCATGGATTCATGAGACACTTATTTTGCGAAGCTGTGGGAAAATACACAAAGCACATTTAATCTTCATAAGGCATTTACTCGATAAACTATAAAATGTTTGTGTAATTATACGCTTGTGAGAAGCTGGCCCATTACTAGCTTTAACTCAAAGCAGATACCTGATCATTATCAGACGGATGGCTAAGTCCAAGTTAAAACTTACATACGTGTATTGATTCAATTCTCCAGTGGTTTTGAACAACTCTGGTCTGATTTGTCCATGTGCTCTTTCTGAAATTTGAAATTACCTGAACAAAGTGTCCCTGAATATCCTGCCTTGCAAATGCACTCAAAGCCAGACGGAGTCTCAATGCAATTGCCATCATTTTGACAGGGGTTGGTGGAACAGCTCCCACTGCGCACTGCAAAGAAAGAAAAAGTACGTACATGAACGCGAGATGTAACCGAAAACATTTTTTTATACCTAGTGTTTTATCCTATCCTCCAACATGGTGGCATTAGTTAATCTCTGTCATGTAATCCAACAGGGCAGACATGTATATCATCCAACATGGCGGCCCTGTTTTTGTTTCGTTTTATCATCAAACATGGTGGCAATAGTAAGTCGTTTGCTATGTAATCCAACAACGGAAGCCATGTATATCATCCAACATGGCGACCCTGTTCGTTTTTGTTCCATTACTCATAATGGCGCCCATTTAACTTTCAACATTTTTTTTTTTTTTTTTTTTTTGATTCTTGCATCGATAGAATATATGAACAAGTTTTAAATTAAAGTCCTATATTCACCTTCGCAATTCCGTCCTCGGTAACCATGGACACAGGTACATTCATGACCATCACTAAGCTCTGTACATGTTCCACCGTTCATGCATGGGTTGGGGTGACAGCGATCCTCGACTGAAAAAAGAGAAATTGGATTTGCAACTTTTAGTCGCGCTTTGGAAGCTTTTGAATATCAATCCACGCCCACAAATAAAAGAAGTTGAATCGCCACCCGCAATGTGCGTTATCATGCATGACTACTTTAAAGCGATCCCAGAATCAAAATTGAACTTGTCAGTCAGTCTGTTAGAATTTCAGTTAAAAAGATTCTGTCAATGTACAACAAAGATTTTTTTAAATCTTATATTATGTATCTTTGATGTAGCACGTCAGAGAGGATCATATCGTGTGCTATAGAGGCTTTGCACCATCACGTGATGGCAGCCATGACAGGAGGCAGGAACAATTGAATCAGGTCTAATCTGATTTACATGAGAAAGAATTGAGTTTCCTTGGGGAAAAAAGACTATGGTTGTGGCTCCTGTCATGGCTGCCATCATGTAAAGGTGCAAAGCCTCTATTGACTATTACTTTAAATGTAACCTATATTTGCATCAAATCGTCGATTGCAAAGGAATGGCTCCTTTGAGACGCTCTCAGTGTAAATATTCCCTAATTTACTGCATGTCCCCACTGGAATACTCTTAATGGTGGTCCTAAAGCTATTCCTATCGCGTGAAAATTAACCGTGTTGTATAAGTAAGTTATGAGTTGAAAATGTTGTTATACAGGGGAGCTAAAGCCTGTATTTAACTCTTTTACTCCGACGAAGGATTAGCGTCCGAAACGTCAGTAAGTTTACCTTTTCATCATTACTGTTTCATTAGAAACACCGACGCAGCTCACACTAGTTTTTAGCTAGTTACATCTTCTTTTTATTTCATGCGGTTGAATATACAAAACAAAACTAAAGGAACAAAAGTAGGACCTAAGTTGAATCTGACTCCAGTTTTGTACATCTCAGTGTCAATTCACAATCATGATGTGCAACTCCGAGATGCTATCTATGTACCCCTCCCCAACCTGAAACACCACCGGGGAATGAAAAGCGGTGGGAAACGATGTCTAAAAGAGATAAAATATACATTAGAAAGGGTGTCCTGAGTGCTTTTGTAACTATATCTATGCATCTATATCAAAAACAGTTCAGGTAAATGATTAAGATCAGTTATTTAGTTTGGACTGAGAAAAGAGATACGCTCTTCAGTACGCTTTTCTCAATTTAACATAATCATAATTAAATAAAACATAATCAAATTTACTCAAAAAATTCGTGTTTATGGGTTTTTACCATGACCTTTGATTAGCGACCACCGAACCTCACAACAGGTCATTCTAAAGTGCCTCTAAGCTTAGAATACTAAATTTCTGATTTGCTGAAAGAAATGTGATTTAAAAAACGACGTGTACTTAACGTACCCTCGTAGTGTCTAAAATAAAAGCAAATAACTCCAGACAATTGGTGTCTGGTTTTCCTGTCATTGATGAAGAAACCACGACAACTAGAGATGAAATATTTGATGGAAAAGTGTGATGCCAATATAAAAACCCAGAAAGGCGTTAATTTTTGTGTAGTCATAAAACGCATGGGCTGTTTCTATGTGTAGCTAAACGTTCTGGTAAATAAACACAGAAGTTATTGAATTGTGCAAAATTGTTAAGCAACACTGTCTTTGTAGTTGTTAACGTTAGATATTATTTGTCTTACCTTCACATTTTTCCCCCTTTCTTCCTGGAGGACAGGAGCATTCAAAGCTTGTGCCAGAGATAGTGCACTCCCCGTCGTACTCACAAGGATTTGGATGACATGGATTTTTCCCTGTGTGGTGGTAAGATAGAACCATCAATGGGAGCGACAAACAAAACAGTAGCTTACACAAGCATTGACTGCTGGACATCGAGGCCGTTTGATTTTAAAATGGACATTAGTAGAGAAAGTAGAATTAACTGTATATAGAAAAGAGATTCACTCCTTGCGCTTCAATAAAGATATGGGTGACTTCAGGCACTCGCTTCGTTGAACTGAACGACTCAAAGTGATAACTGTTGAACTGTAAAATTACATCACATCCAAAGAATCAACAAAATGACAGCTAATGGGATATTAACTGATTTTTTAAAGTTTTTTTTTAAATTGAAAAATGTAGTATAGTTTTTTATATATTCAATAAGTGTCTTCAGTGGCTCGTAGTCAGTAAAGGGTAGCACTGAACTGTTTGATGACTTTAATTTACTATAATTTTTTACCTAATAATTTAATTTAATAAAAGCCTTTTGACTTCACACGATAAGAAATCAAATCAGAGTTTATTTTTAGAGTACTCGAGAAACCGTATAAAATCCACTTAGAACTAACCAAGGCTTAAATTTATTATAATGCTTCAGTAAACCTTTTTAAAGTTTTTGACATTTGCAAAATAAAGGAACGTGATTGGTCTATGTTTTATTGCCTCTCATTCATTGGACAACCTGTTAGACCAATTAGAACATACAATTCTGATTGGTTTCTAATTGGTTTAAACATTGTCAGTTTAAGCCTTTCATTTTGATTTGACGACATGGTGGTGAACACTAGGCCAATATTTATGGCTTTTTTAGGACCATAAGTTAATATTCCTTTTTCTAATTCAGTAAATAACGAAGTGTTTTATTACTGAGGACTCATCTGCAGAGGCTTAGAATCGCTTTAGAGCAAACCATTTGCAAAAGCTTTTGAAACAAATAGTACAGCCGAGTTCCATATATTTTTCGCAAAGAAATTGAGAAACCATACTCACATTGCCTAGTGCATTGCCTTCGACCCCGTTGAGCTGTACCATTGCTGTACATTGCGGCGATGATTAGCGATGACAATTTTTTTAGTGTAACACCACTCCTGCATATTGTCTCGCAAACCAATTACGTATACAACCAATAATATTTTATCGACCGTAAATTGTTTATGGCCTCGGTTGACTACAATCGATTTCTCGAAAAGAAGCTGCTTGAAAAAGCAGTCTAATGTAACATACCCTGCCGGTGCAACTGCGACCGTACTATTTATTAAAGCACAATTGCAACAAAATTGCGAGACAAGTTGCAAAGAAAACTACGAAGTGTAAAGCTACGAACGCACGGTGCAACATTGCGCGCAATGTTGAATTCTAAGATGGTGAATTCAATGCGCGCAATGTCGCAAGCAATGCTGCGAGGCATGTCACACGACACAATTTGCGGCATGCAATGTTGCTGAAATAGAAACGAACCTACTTCTGCAACATTGCCTGCAATATTGCGCGCAAGGTTGCACCGTGTGTTTGTACCTGTACCTCATCTTTGTACTGTGTTTTCTTACCAGCGCATCGTTTTCCAGTGTATCCATTGACACATGAACATTTAAACCCAAACAGGTGATTCTTGCACTTACCACCATTATGACATGGGTTAGGCGAGCAGAATCCATCTGAAATGAAAAAATATATATATCATCACCATCATCATCATCCCCACCACCATCATTACCACCATCATCGCCACCATCACCATCACTATCATCACCATCATCATCATCACCATCACTGCCATCACATCACCATCCCTATCATATTTCCCCCCCAGAATCAATTCTTATCACGATCTCTCTCTAATTCTGATTACTAGTTAGCACAGCACTAGTTCGACTCGTTACCGCGATGATTATTTGAAGGCATACCATTCTTTGATATCTTCATTGTTATGTATCGCCATACCATGATTATCATCGTCATCATTACCACAGGACGTAGTGTGGTGACGAGTGTTTACATTATGCGGATTGTAATCATACTGATGATTTTTCTTTGGACTCTCTTTGAGCATTGACTACCATAGACTTCCTTTCCGGTCAGCATTAAAAGGAGGAATTGATGTACCGAAAGCGCGTAGATAACCCGGTAACAAGCATGATAATAGCGAGCTAGGAAAACCATTAATCACACCAATCAAGGAAGCAATGAGAAAATAAAACTTTAAAAACTCTTGTCACGAAAGATAAAATCAAAACAATACGCGAAGACGTCAGACACAAAGCGATTAGCATATGCAGACTATTGCAATTATTGAAATTCTACTAAAAACTTTGTACTTTACTGAGGTTTTACATCTACAAACAAGCAAAAAAGGTTTTGTGCACTCAGTTCTTTTATAAGTCCCTTGCTAATTCATCATGTACATAATTATATTGAATGAAACAAAGATTTAGATATGCAGCAAGCAAAGCTTGTCATTTATAAACACCATGCCGAAACACATTAAATATTTCTTGAAACGAAACCGTTGCTTCTGCTGCTGCAATAAGAATCATACAGCGAGCTTGTTCGAGGACAGAAACAAAAAGAAACAAGGAAGCTAATACTTTATCATTCAGTTATAATTCAGTGAATAAAGCCAGTACCTTTTTGCATTCGAAATCATTGCCTCGCTTCGTGTAGAGCAACCGAAGCTAGCTGTCCATTTTTCTGCTCCATTGAGAAATAATTTTCCAAAGGAAGACCATGCACTCGCATTTGACTCTCTTCTCGAACCACCTACTTTCATTTAGGCTCAAAATTCATTCAAGAAATACTTATTAAGTAAAGAAATTTAAGCAAAAAACTATGAAGTCCCTTCTAAATGTCATTAAAGTCAATATTCACAGGACATGCGAAAGCGTGAGAATGTCTTTGATTGGAAGCAAAACAATTGGATGACTGTTGAGTGGGTGTACTCCTTATGCCAATAAATGATTAAAGTTTGAGCTAAGAAAACAAGGGCTTTCGATAATGTTTTTCATAAATGAATATCAACATTCTTTTCTTAGAAACTATGGCTTTGAAAATAAAGTGAACAATGACGGCTTTTTTGAGGTTTTATAACTCTTTTCTGTTTCATTATAAACATCGACATTTTGTTATCGAGTTTGAACCATCTCGTTTTGAAAGAAAAAAAAAACGGAGTCTGGCAAACACTAGAAAAAAAATCTAAAAAAAAAAAAAAAACAACGCGAAGTAGCCGAAAATAAACATCACTTTTGCAATTAAATATCGTCATGCACTTTTTAAAGCTGACTTGGATAATTTTCGCAGAAAAAGAGGAACACCGTGGATGTACATATCAGAACCTTTATCGATGTGCAAAGAAGTTGACTCAAAAATAAAGGAAAGCATTGAGTAAAAATTGCATTGATTTTTTTTCACTACATGTTAAGGCACGGTGTTTAAATTTCTGACAACAATAAGTTTGATTTAAAAAAACAATTATTACTTTACGAGTGGACATATACACTTACTGTTATCAGAATCTTCATCATCGTCATCGTCGTTTTCAGGTTGGCTGTTTAAGGAATTACGTCCCAGAAGCAAGGAAAGCGCGTTTCCATCTAGATCATTAGGTTTGAGAGGAATCGAATTATACTTTAACCTTTTTGGTTTATAAAGCCCAAAGCCTGTTGCTGCGGCTGGGTTGACTGCAGAAGCAAGATCAGAACGTTCTCTCAGTAGATTGATAGTCGATAGAAGTCTTGCAAGTTGGTAGTTATATGGAAGCCTGTAGCCAGCGTTGTTTGCAATTAGTGGGTTAGTTTGCGGGATTAAACTTCGATATTGTCCAAAAGCTGGTGTTCCTTGTAGACCTAAAGCAGGTAGCCTTGGGTTGAGAGACAACCCCAATTGTCCAAGTCCAATTTGTGTTGGTCGACCAAGTCCATTAAACCCYGGGTTAAACTGTGGCGACCGTTTTGTTCTAGGATCTTGAGAGCCCTTCGTCGATTTTTTTACTTGTTTAGCTGAAGTTTTATTCCCATGTGGGTGATTGAAATTTGGTTTATGGGTATCGATCGGTTGTCCTTTCATTGACTGTGTTGAGTCTACCAGTAACAAAACCAGCAACCACACTAAAGTCAGACATGTGCCTGGAGCCAATAGCATTTCGATCACTCATCTCAGTAAATACTTTTTAACCCATTTTCCTTGATTTTTGCTGCCTTCAAAGATCATAATGGTTTTCCCTGTCTCAGCAAGCGATTATTTTTCGAACAAGAAAAATCTCTGCTGGAAAGAGAATATTTAATGAGTGTGTACTGGTGGGTACCACATTACATCATGTCAGTCATTCATTACCTAGAATACTTACCTAATGACGTAAAGCAGGAAGCAGATCTTTTTCTAGGGCCTAGTGAAGGTTTTTCACTTTAGGGCACCTGCAGCAAAAATTCGCCAAAATGTTTTAAGCTATCGAATATCTTGGAGTAACCTTAGACGTATCCTTAAAGATGTTGAAGTCCAGTAATCCTTTTTTATTACATGGTCAATAGAGTTTCAGGTAGTCTAATGGAAGGTCGATATGCTATAGTTTATCAGAGAATGGATGCTTGACTTTTGTGTTCAAGTACTGCGCTTCACTGAGCTCATTCGTTCTAAGTCACCAGCATTTCTCCGCCCCGTCCTGGTTTTTTTTTTATTTCCTTGTCTGAAGTTTTGACAAGACATCCAAACATCTGGAAATACGCCTATATAGTTTTGACACTTTTTAACATGCCAAAAATTACTCAAATATTTTACATGATATATTTTTTCGAATCTAAATCGACAAAGCCAAATAGTGGTCTTTGCCATTGGTAGCAAGGTTTTAATAATCAATTGACCTTTTTCTTCAGTTGAGCAAAATTCCACTTATAGTTTTTCAAGCATACTTGTTACAGAGAACAAGCCTTCAAGACTGAGACCAGTCCTAGAGACAAAGAAAAAAGAAGTGCAAATCTTGAAGTCTGCTTACAGGAGACTTCTCAAATTATGGCAAGAAAAACGTCCAAAACGGTTCAGAAATTGGGCACATTATGATCAGATAAGCCTCAGGTTTACTGATCAAAACGTACAATTTATACCAAACTACTTTGAATATAATCCCTGATTTAGTTACACTGTAACTGTAGTTACACTGCTTGGTAACTTTAAATACTTGTTGCATTTGGGCCAGTTTCTTTATATTTCATTGTATTGGCTCAAATGCCTCAACTTGAAACAATTGTTTGAAGGCAATAGAGTGTAACTCTGACATCTGCCATTGAAGAAACCAGGAAATTACAAACACGAAAACTATATAGATATTTTTTTTGCCTTTCCTCAATGAACGAAAATTACTGACCACTGTAATTGGTTGACACAGTGCAAGCGATAGGTCAACGGTCGAGACACTCTCAAAATAACAATGAAAATACGTTAAACAAAGCTTCACTTTAAGTCTGTAGGGAGTGCAAACACGTGACCGAACAATCCCTTGAGATATAAATAACCGATGAAACAGCCGCCATCTGGGTTGATTAAAACAAGAAGCTTAATGAGGAATGCTTGCATAGTCAACCAACATGGCGGCTATGACGTAACATTCTTCCATAGAATATGGATACGCCTATTTTTGATAAGTATATGACATATTGTCGCATTTGATTTTCACTTCACCTCTATGGCATTTACTCTTATATTTCTGGCTCTCTCTCTCTCTTTATAATTTGTGTTTTTGTGTTGGTTTCAATCCCCGCGGTCAAGTGACTACGACGGTCATCTTTTTTTGTTCTAGGAAAGCTTTCTTTTTTCATTTAGAGATTTCTAAAAACAATTTTTCTTGTTTAAATTTTTTTAATAAAGACCAATTTTGGCGGGCATGTGACGTCATAGTCGCTATGTTGATTAAATATGACTTTAAGCAAAAATGTATCTTTCTTGATAGTATGTCTTCGGCCATTGATTGATTGGGGGCATTTTACAAATTTTACAAGATAACGATTATGATTAAAAAAGAAAATACATTTTATTGTCAAATTAATAGTAAAGGAAACTATTGAATACAATCATTTTCAAGACAATTCATAATTATTTATAATTATTTTAATTTTTTCTTTTAGGAATGTCTTAAACATGGTTAAGCTGCTGATCGAAATTTCACACGAACAAATAGTCAACTTGTATTGATTAAATGAATCTCTAGCTCTGCCAGCCAAAATTCGTAGCAGAGGTTACACTCTGTTTTGTAACTCAAGACGTCACGACTACCTAACACAAACGCTATATTCAAGCTACGTGCACCATTGCCCTCGACAAATCTGTATCTATAAAGCTATTCTTCTTCATTTACTTCATCAATTAGATGATCAACCTGGGTACAAAAAACTGGTTAAAGAGAGAAATTAAACATCATCCTTGTTTGCAACGGTAACAAAACCGATGCCGGTGTGACCTTTGTTCCATATGATAGAGCTGATAGTAACTGAATTCTTGGACTTACACTGACTTACATGAATGTCAAGAGTTGCACGATCAAAGGAATGGAATATAATTTTAGATATATAGGTGCCATTAGCATATGTGCTGTAATCACAAGAGATAATTGGCAATACGTATCGAAATGTATATGATCTTACTTAACCTTCATAAAAAAAGACAAGCTTGGTCAATGAAAATAAAATAAGTATACTTGTTTTGACAAACGTTACAATGGTGCCACTAGTCGAAACCCTAAATGTCATTCTAAGAGTGATAGCTAAACATTACTGATCGATACTAAATACAACACCATCAATAAATTATATATTATTGAAGTTTGGAATGCAGTTTTTCTTTCATGGTAAAGTTATACTAGAGTTTTCTAACGCAGCAGTACTGATAACTAAACAAGAAATTTTTAGTTAAGGGTATGTTAAATTGTGGAAGTCTTCTTTTTAAGAAGAGGAATTAAGAACTCGAATCACACTACGAAGGTCATACATAAAACCGTTAAAGGCTTTCATACAATTTTACTAATGCCGGTTTCTCTTGGCAAATACTTTCAGTAACGATCTAATGTTTTAGTATCTAAGGGTGTACAGGAAACTTTGGAATATACTTTCTGTTTGCAGGCAAAACTTTTTCCTGGTGGTCCAGTATTTGTGACAGTTTTTCTCCCTTAGCGTTCGCTTGTCTGCTAAACTGGTTGAACCTGCTTTGTCTACTTGCTTCTTTGTTTGAAGCATCTGATATGTAGGATTTTGCTACATGCTGAAACGAGCTGTTTGTCCTGAGGCAACATTCGTGGTGACAATAAGACAAACAGTTATACGGTCTGCACTCCATGGGACAAGGAATAGATACCATGTACTGGCCATGTCCGTTTAGCAATCCGGGTTTGTATTGCTCAGACGCAGAGCAGCAATCACGAGTACAACTTGGGAAACAAGATCTTGGACACTGCAATGGGCATCCGTACGCTGCTTTAGTTGGTGTTGTTGTAAGAATGAAAGATCTTGTTGTTGGACGAACTTGGACTGTTCGTTGGATAGCTTTGCAACAGGACTCCATGCATAATGGATAGCATCTTGGAGAACATCCTGTCTTACACGAAGGTGCAGTGTCTTTAGAAGTACTTGGAGACAATTTTTTAGGTACTTGTGGATGTACACAGCAAGATGGAGGGCACTTTGGTGAACAAAAGGTTGCGCAATCACTGGGGCAGCTAGTATATAATGCCTGGCCAATCTTTGATAGCTGCTGGGTAACCTTTGGTCCATATTTGTGATAACCGCTATCAGATTCAGCTTCAGCCGAAAAGGACCTCTTTAAGCAACACCTTTCTGGGCAGCTACTGATGCATGATTTTGCACATGCTGGCTCACAAGGAATAGATGTATATGGACTTGCAGGCACTTCCGCTTTTATCTTACCATTCTGATCCACTTGCATTTTTCGAAAGGCATTGGCGAAAAATTTCTGAGGGTTTTTCATGGTCATCATCATGTTCGGTGGCATGTACATGTTACCATACATGTTGTACATCATGTGCAAAAAGTTCATCATACCAAACCAACCCATCGCATTGCGGAAAATATCCTCAGCCTTGTTCACATCCACATTAGAAGCACCAGGTGAACTCTTCAAAATAGAAGCAAAAGATCTTTTCTCGCAGCAAATAGGTGGGCAGGTGTTTTGACATTTATTTTGACATGCCGAAGGACAAAACTTTTCAGCGAATGCTTTGAGAAAGTCTATTTGCAAATTTGGCTTCGAGAGTTGACAGCAGTGATCAGGACAAGATGGGCCGCACTTTTCTCCAGAACATTCTGGATGGCAGTTTTCCCTTGTCTTTGCTCTTTCGTCACCATTCTTTTCTTCTGACTGTGGCTTTAATATTTTCGTTGTATTGTATTTGATTTCTGAAGATGTGATATTCTTATGTGGAGTGGATAACTTGCTGGACAGTACTTGATTACTTGATTGCAAATGTTTTTCTTGGTGTGGATGTTTATTAAAGACATCAGCATTGCTGTGGAGGGTTGGTTTGAGGTAGAAATCGGCTGCTGCGTCTGGCCCGACCTTTTTATTTGAAGTCTTTGTTATTGGTTTTATTGTTGGCTTTTTTGTTGGTGCTGTCGGTGCCGCTGTTGCTGCTGTTGTAATTGTTGTTTCTGCTGGTTTAGGTGTTGCCATGTGAGACTTACAGCATATATTTGGACACTCTGGAAGACAGCTAACTGCGCACCTATCGGGGCATTCTCGGTGTCTTATCTTGAATGCTGTGGACATTGACAAACATATTAAAGCAATTTTGAAATGGTATTTTGAAAGAAAAGATTAGGCCCCAGATGTCCATATAGAAGCCAAAAAAGGAAAGGAAGCATATTAGGTTTTGCAGATCATTAGGTATACGTTTCATCTAAAAATATCAATATACAACCACAACAACAGAATCTTTTTCTTTATAATTACTTTATGTTACAAATCTCACAATATACATGTTTATTTAACGGAATAAATGGTAAATACACGAGAAATAAGACTTTGACTTACGTGAGCATTCGACGCCATTAAAGTAATGATGATGGCCACAAACACAAAACCCTCGGATGCATTTTCCATGCTTGCTACAGCCAGGAAGGCAACTGTCGGCTGAAAAATGCGTGTCCAAACGGTTATAATATATATATATATTTGGGAACAAAAGGAAGGAAAAAATATGGAAAAAATGAAAAAAGAGGGGAAAAGATGTATTGTAAAAATATTTTCAAGTCAAGCTAAGAATCTCGAGGCTATCAAGGTTAAATATGAAGAAGAATATAAAGGATTTATTGATTTATATTAATCACAACATGAAGTGAAGTGAAGGTCGTTTATTGGATGAAATCTAGTAATGTTTTTCCATTTTAGACCCCGCATTATTCCCTAGAATATCATTTGTCTAACGTTTGTGCGTTAGAAGACTCATGAATATGAATACAACTCATACAAATAGTCCCATTTTCAAGGAAATCACACGTCGTCGCGGTCGGAAACGGATGCGGCATTTGATCATTTGGATGCATTTTTAACGCGGATTGAGGGTAAACGAAGAATCTAAGTCATGTGCAGGAACATATTGGATAACAACTCCGAACTTGTAACACGTAACTCATTATGACCTACCTCTACATTCAACTCCGTCACCTGTGAAGCCAGGCTTACAAATGCATTCCTTCTTGATGCATTTTGCGTTATGGTGACAGCCCCTGCAATCATCTGTTTCATTTTCTGGAAGAAAATTAAAGTATGTTGGCATGAATTCAAGAAATATTTGAATGTTTCATGGCTGAGGTGAATGCAATCACTGATCGTGGCTCTCTAGGGGAAAAAATGGTCTCTAACCACTGTTTAAAGGGAAATAGGGCGATATGCCACTTAAAACTGAATAGCTCTTCGTTCGAGCACGTAAAGGTGCATGAGAACCGTACATACTCTAACAGTTCTCTTCTCGATTGATTTATCAATCGCGACTGTTTTCTCGATCAGCGAGTAGCAAAGGCACTAGGTATACAGTAAAAACCCGCGAGTAAGAACCTACATTTTTAGAGTTAGCCTCAACAGGTTCTTGTTTAAATGGTAGTTAACACAATTTTAGGCTATCTAGGTTCTTAAATAGGTTCTTATTCCTGTGTAAGAAAACAAATAAAATTCAGCTACAAGATAAAAATATGGTAATCAGCCTATTTTTCAATCGACCACCACCCCCATCAACAACACCATAGAACATTAGTTGATTTATCTGCACAGCAATGGCAAGCTCCTATTTTTCCAAACAGGATTCTAACCCAGCTCTGCATCACTAAATGGTGGTTTTTGAAAATAAGAACCTGTTTTTTATTTTCTAGGCTAAATAGGTTCTTGTTTAAAGGGGGTATAAATGACAAATTTGAGGCTAACAGGTTCTTAATTTTCAGGTACTTACTCGCGGGTTTTTACTGTATCTTATTAGACATTTTAGGGTGGAATAAGGGTGATGTTTTTTTCATGGTTATTCAATGCAAACACTGCAATATGATATTTTTCTAAAAGTATTTTGTTCTCTCTTACCTGGACCTGATAAAGCACCAAGTATCTTTGCCAAAGGTTGATCGTCGTTAAGGATGCATACTTTGTCAATGCAGCGTGCATTACGAGGGCATCCAGTGCAGTATTTTGCTGGAAGATGCAAAGGGAGAAAGTTTCAGTAAATGGCTTACTTGCAATGCAACAGCAGTTAGTATTGAAAATTAGTAGGGGAAAAGATAAGGCAATAATAAGAGGACAAAAAATATGAAACCAAAAAAATTTGATAATCTGAAGATCTGAGAAAATAAGTACAAATAATTCCATAAACCGAATAGCTAACAAACAAACAAACAAACAGTCAAACAGATAGACAAACAAGCAAGCAAAAAAAAAAAAAAAAATTCAATATATACGTTTTACATGTTTATTGTTACCTGCTTTATTAGCAACTGCATGGTCAAGATTAACAATCTTAACAGATTCTTGCGATAATATGTTTCCTATTCCAGTGTTCACATGTTGCGGGTGCTCCGGCGACCCATCGATCTTCATAAATTCTTGTTCCAAGTTTGGAGAAGAACTTGGCCCGCTTTGCTCGTACTGTTGACTAAAGGTGTCTATCTTTTGTGTGTTTTCTTCTGGGTGGTCAACTAACGAAAAACTATTAGTTTCTTGATAGGCGTCTGGGGTAAACCTATTGACTGATGAACCCAAATTGCCGACACCTTCACTCGAAGGAGCTTGTTCGCCTCCAGTAAAGCTCAAAGATCCTGCGCTGTTGCTAGCAAGGTTTGCAAGGCTATTCTGTTCCTCGCCAGTGTTAAGACCTTCATCGATAAGAGAATGATAGCAGATAATGCATTAGCAAAATGTGTATCGTCCTCCCCCAACTTAGTTTTATTCATATTATTCTACTCTAGAACTTACACGGTACCGCATGTCATTAATAACTTTTATTTATAACTTCTGGTGGTTCATCCAATCAAAGCTAATAATGACTGCTATAGTAAAATACACTGTTACTATGTTCAGTCAGTTAGGCTTTGGTTTGTCATTTATATTGATTGTGCTCAAAAGTTAAAAAAAACTAAAGTAATAAAAAAAGAAAGTCTTATATTTTGACCCTTTAGTAACAACCACATACTCCCAAAGTTCTATGTGTTCTTTAGCGCATTTTTAGATCTATTCCAAAGGTGTTGATTAATAATCTAGTGAAAGACTTGATTACCTTTGTTCGCATTAGCTATTGCCGCAGCAAGCTGAGAAGCATCGTTTTTTGTAATACTCTGTCCTTCGTTAATGAAAGACTGAGTTTCTTGATCCTGCCCCGTGCCTTGATYGTTCGAATCGGAAAATAAGTTGGCAATAGACCCAACGTCAGTACCCCTTTGCTCTGATGAATCGCCTTGCAGTTCTGGTCCTGTTTGTTGCTCGTTGTCTTGCTGCTGATAAGCCGCTGTTGCTTCTTGCATCTCACCGTGTTGTGGATTTTGTTCCTGTTCGTTTCCTTGTTGGAGAAAGTTTTCTTGTTCATTTCCTTGAAAATACAACAAACAAACAAAAAAATGAGTTCTCTTTTTATTGTTCACAGTTTAATACATTTCTTTTGGAACTAGTAATCGAGGAAGAAGATTAAAATAATAATCCAAAATAGAGACTCGATGTTATTGCTTTAGGTGGCGGTTACCGGAATAGACCCCTTGCATGCGACGTCAAAGCAGCTCGATCTGGGGGACAAAACAAAATAATTCCAATCTCCTGAGAATTGGAACCCATTGGTATGTCCCCCAGAGTGAGCTGCATTCCAAAGTGCTGCAAGGAGTCTACATAACCCTTTCCTCCCTCAGAGAATGTTGAAATCTTTGATTCTTGGTGTCCATATTTACCTTGCTGTGGAACTACTTCTGGACCATTTTCCTGATGAAAGGAACTTTCCATTTGTTCATCTTGCTGTTCTCCATTCACCTGTTCATTTCCTTGCTGAAAAGCAGCCTCTTGATTGGCTCCTTGCTGCATTACATTTCCCTGTTCTCCGCCTTCTTGTAAGTTCATCTCCTGATTATTGCCTTCCTGGCCTCCCTGCTCTTGTACATTGATTTGCTGTTGTTCAGTCGTCTGTCTCCCAACCCCTTGCTGGTACTGTTCGATTCCATCTTGAGGAGCACTCTGTTGCTCATCCTCCTCCTGCCTCAAAAGTTGTCCTTCCTGGTTCTGTTGCTGTGGTCCTTGGAAAGCAACTGTCTCCTGTTGTTGGTTAGGGAGCCCTTGCATCTCCTCTTGTTGATTCTCTTGCTGACTGAGCAGAGCTTTCTGTTCCATTAGTTCTTGTAATGTTCCAACCGACTGCTTATTACCCTCATTTCCTTCCTGGCCTTCCTGGCCGTTATTATTTACCTGGAATGCATTTACCTCATTTTGACCACCATTCAATGTCTGGAACCCTTGTTGTTGGCCATTAAACTGAGCAACATTGTCCTGACTATCTTGGTTATCAGATCCAGGATTACCAAGGTTATTTGTCAAATATCTTAGTTGTCCCGATGTTTGAGGGTTATATTCTTGTTGGTATCCATTAACAGTTTGTGTTTGCGGCGTTAAGCTTGGACTTGGTGCAAAAGCCAAGGAATACTTTTTGGTTTTTCGCTTTGCTTTGAAGTTAGTAGTGCTACGTGTTTTATGTGACTCTAGAATTGCATGTGGTCGGTCCTCCTTTTCTCTAGAATGCCTTGCCTTCGCTTGTTTCTTATTGACAAAGACATCTTCCTTTCTTGTGTCTTTTTTATGGTTTGTTTTGGTTGTCCCACCATTTCTCCTGTAAGTCAAATGATTTTCCTTATCATTAAATTTCGACCGTGTTCCTGCTTTGCTGGTCTTTAAGTTTTTTTTATCAGGTAGTTCATCTATAAGTGTTTTTGTACGAAGTTGATGTTCAATTTTTTTACCTACGTGACGGCGTTCATGACGACGGCAACAAGCAGAAGAAATAAAACAAAAATAAAAGACAGATAAACTTACTAGAAATATATAAACATTCATATTTTGGCTACATCTCTTAAGGACGTATTCTTACTTATCAATAATGAAAAATCTTCCAACTAGAAAGCACCCGACTCAAAGAATGCATGAGTGTCCGTGATCTATGACGTAAGAGGTACTTCGGTTCACCGCTCGGTGATTGGCTACAATACAATTCAAACTAACCTTTAAACAGGTTGTGGACAATCGGTGCATGAATCTGTGACAGTTTAACCTGTTTTGATTTAAAAAAATTGGTTGATTAACATCCCGAGTTCATTTAATTTAAATAACGGTCTTCAAAAGAGAGAGAGAAAAATAAAACAAAAAAAAGATCCTTTTAATGAGCATTTACACCAAACAAAATAATTTCCTTCGAGGAATTTTACCATTTTTAGAAGTTTGGACGCTGTCCAACAAATTAAAGCATTATTTTTTAATTTAGAAAAGAAGGATTGGGTGACGGAAATTCTTTCACTCAAGCAAACTACAGGTAGTTAACCTGCTGCTGTTTAAGTCAAAATATCATAGTGCTAGTATACGTACAAAGGTTTTTTCATTAAGAAAAAGGGTGCGTTCAAATTGACCTTTTCAGATTCTACTTAATGTCTTGCCTATTTCAGACTACGTGCCATTCCTCTGAAAATAACATTCCTTGTTTGAGTTGTATCCATATTCATGTGTCTTTTCATGCGCAACCGTTAAACAAAGAAATGATACTCTAGGGAATGACACGTGGTCTGAAATGGGAAAACACATCACTCCCGATGGGTCTATTTGATCTGTAGAATGTTAACTAGGGGGCCACAAAATTGTGGTACGATTTATTTAAGAATGCGTAGCATTTTTTGAGGAAATAATTTGAAAAGGTTTGTCTGGCGTCGATTGTGTGTCTGTGTTGCTTATCAGTGTCCAAAAATTCAGTGGACATCCATAAATGTCTGTTTTCTTGTGGGCCTCAAGTCCATAAAAACCATATTGCCAGATCATATCGTTTAGGCGGCCGATTAACACGATACGATTTTTCCTCAAAATTGCCGCGCGCAACATACTTGAATGCCTGAATGCGCAAATCATGCAGCGCACAAACCATTAGCGACTTAGCACCATCACGTGATGGCAACCATTACAGGAGGCAGGATGGATTAAAGGTTACCAGGGGGAAAAGACCGTTAATAGTCTTGCCCTCTGTCACGGCTACCAAAACGTGATGGTGGAAAGCCTCTATATAGATCCACTTGGGGAACAATAACTACCTTAGCAAAAATCAATGCATCTTCTTTTCTTCGCTGTCAATTTGAAAAATTCGGTAGATTACCATCTTTTGACCAGTTCCAGTACCAATGCTAATATTTTCCCTTTTTGGTTTCTCAAGAAAGATCTTTCTCTTGAAGAAAGGTACTGAAGAAGTCGTTAAAACGTTGCTTTAACATTTATTTATTTATTATTCATCCATCCATCCATCCATCCATCC